CGCTTGCTAGATTATGTGCTTTATTTTATGTAAAAACATGAAAAATCGAAAAATCTGTTGAACTTTTCCTGAGTTTACTTTACTTTAGTTTTGACTATTCGTAATTATTCACAGCATTCTTTATATTTATTTATTACCATTGATTAAAGTCTAAAATAAAGAGACTATTGAAATTTCCTGGGTTTTTCTTGTATTGAATGTATTTAAACTTTGGCATTATGATCCATGCTTTCTTGAGAAACTTTGAAAACTGTGAACTTTCAAGCTGCGCCTGACTTATTGCATAGCTTTGAACCAGGCTTTAAATCATTGCATCTTCTTTTGCCAATTAGTTTTTTTAACAAATGCAAAAACTAATCTTTCCGGATTTAATTGCAATAAACATATTTATATAAGCCCATCGACAGCTGCAATTTTGTTGAGTCTGAGCCACAGCTGCCATCAATAGACCATAAAATTTGCATATTAATTTGCTGGGTTTTAGCCATAACTTATAATAGATAAAAGCATAAAACAATAAACTAATTTGCATGCACAGTTATTAAAGCGCTTAATCCAGCTGACAGATTGTTGCCAAGCAGAATATGCTCTCATGATTACGAAACAGGACTGATTGAGGGGGTCGCTGAGCAAGGCCGTTGCCGAACCTATTACAAATTGAAATAGAAAGAGGAAAACTACTCAATTAGGCGAAATGAAATCAAACTGTGCGAATTGACAATTGTCAGCGACAAATTCCATATACAAGCCGAACAAAGCGCACAGTCAAAATCGCTCAAAATCGATCGAATCGAGCCGAGTGACCGATCTGATATTTCCAATCACTGATTTTGCATAAAAAGATGTCCACTCATCCGAGCGGAAATGGGTTGGGCACCTTTTTGGGCGATGGGTCAATCGGCAATTCTCAAAAAAAAAAAAAAAAAAGACAACTAGAAAATCTGAACAGCAAAACAGTTTCAATTTGCGCTTAATCGAAACCACTTTTGATTTTTTACACTTGCAGCAATTTTTAGATTTAAACCGAGCCACGCCCACTTGAAAATGTTTGTGCTTCGCACGTTGCTGCTGCTGGCGATGAGCGCCACCGTGGCTCTGGCCCAACGTCGTCTGGCGCTGCCGGATCCGCGCAGCTGCGCCAATCGTGTGCGGCATGCCACCTACCGGGATGCCCGAGGCGTCTCGCACTCATACTTCTTCAGCTGGGAGCATGCGCCGACACGCAGCCTGGAGGTGGACTGGTTGGATGCGCGCAACATTTGCCGGCGGCACTGCATGGATGCCGTCTCGCTGGAGACGCCCCAAGAGAATGACTTTGTGAAGCAGCGCATCGCGCGTGGCAATGTGCGTTACATCTGGACATCGGGCAGAAAGTGCAATTTCGCTGGCTGCGATCGGCCCGATCTGCAGCCGCCCAATGAGAACGGCTGGTTCTGGTCCGGCTCTGGCGGCAAGATTGGACCCACATCGCAGCGCAACACCGGCGACTGGTCGCACACGGGCGGCTACAACCAACCGCAGCCGGATAACCGCGAGGCTGCCCAGGGCAATGACGAGAGCTGCCTTTCCATTCTGAACAACTTCTACAACGATGGCATCAAGTGGCACGATGTCGCCTGCCATCACATCAAGCCCTTCGTCTGCGAGGATTCCGATGAGCTGCTTAATTTTGTGCGCTCCCGAAATCCCAATGTGCGCTTGTAAATCTAAAATAAAACTTAAAATAAGCTTATAAAAAATGATAAACAGGAAACACATGAAATATTTATGTAGCATTAAACGGGGCAGTCTGATTGATTGTCTGATTGACTGATTGATCAGATGCTTGCCCAGCGCTTTTGGCCAATTCCGTTCATGTTTTTTTATGGTTTTGTTTGCAACAAATTCTAAAAGCAAAAATTTGAATAACCATTTTCAATGTCGATTCGCGCAACAAAAAAAACAAAATTGTTAAATAATTTTAAAAAACTGTTAATAAAAATACAACTTGAAGCGGTTTTACAAAGTGGGCTGATTCGGAGGATAATTGACGATTTCAGATTCATCCTGCAATCCGATGGCTACTTTGGCTTGAAAATTGTGTACATCCATTTGCAAATAAATCTCTCTTCTTTTTCTCTCTCTTCGTCTTTAGAGAGAATTTAATAAACATTTTTTGAGTGACATATAAATGTTAATAACTGTTAATTTGTAAGTAAAATATTTTGTATATGGACTATTCTGATTCTTCTGAAGCTCAGTTTTATTAATAATCTCAGAAAAAACCCAGAAATCGAAACTTCAAATCAGCCGTTTAAAAACTGTAATAAAAAGCTCAATTCAAGCTGAGCTGTCGAAGTAAAATGAAAATCTGTCACATAGATGGCGCCACAATGGCGGAGCTGCTCGTTTCAATAAATTTTCAAATATCTTTTCACATTTCAGCTCTGTTGTGGGATTGTTCAGTTGAGCCACAGCTAGTACACTAGGATGCCTTAGTTTTTAAATCGAACAGTTTCCATAGGAACTTTTGAATACTTGATCATTTGAAACAAATACATTATTTCTTAACACTCATACAGTTTTACACATTAAAGTACAAATAATAAATTATTAGATTGTTTACCACATAGATACAATTACAGATATTCAAACCCATTTTCAGTTACGTTTCGGGCCTAGTCATGCAGTCCAATAAAATGGGAAACAGAAGCGAAAGGAAGCAGGAACTACCGTGCAAGTCTATGCCAAATCTTTATATAGAACCCGACGGTGAGGGCGAATCTTCGCTTAACCCTTACGCCTTGGAGTTTATTCCATCGTATCTAAAGGGCGGTAAAAACGATAATAATAAAAAGAATTTGAGTTGCCAGAAGAAACAGTTGAAAACAGAGGCAACATCTACAACCACGCTGGCTCAGCGTGAATTTGTGGGCGATGCATCCTATTTGCAGGCCCAGAGGCAGCTATTCGAGCTGCTGCATCAGCTGGGAGACAAGTTCATGCCACTTAAGGCGATCAAGTTGAGTCTGGCCCCGGATGGCCAGGGTATCAATGTTCAGTTTAAGGGAGAGCATGGTGTGACTGGTAAGCAGATGCTGGACGAGAGCCTTTGCCAGAACTCGGCGCTTCATTTGGAAATAAGCGACCGCTCCTTCATGCCAAGAAGACTGCCCAATGTGTTGGCCGCCAATTTTATGGTCCGCATGGGCGATGTCCTCAATGATAAGATGGAGTGGAATGAAGAGTCCATCTGTTCAAGCCGTCCGGCACTCGCCCAACAGTCAGCTAGCAAGCAATTAATGGAGACTAAGCCTTTGATAGAGAACAAGCCCATGCCGGAGATCAAGCGCAAGTCCTGTTCAGTTTCTGCGAGCAAGGATATGCATCATGTTCATCAAATAATTGCCACCACAGCGGCGAGGGAAACATTGCCAAAGAAGCAGCAGCCAGAGCCTATCCAGCTGAATGGCGTTCGTACCACGCTTGCTAGACCAAGCATTGTCAGCAAAGTGCACCATTGTGTCAACACTGGCAATTGGAACAGTTTGCCAACAGGCCGTTCCAAAACGGAGACACGCCAAAAAACAGTGAACATTAAGCAAGAACCCAAATACGAGTATGTGCTCTGCGACTATATTTCTTTAAACAATTCTTTTTGAGCTCGAGAAATAGTATAATTATTTTTTAATGTATAGCATATCGGATTTAGTAGTATCAACACTAGCCAGGGATCAAGCTCGGATCCTAGTTATCTCTAGAAAATGTTGCACTTTTCCATGTACATAATCCGTAGATATCTGGCATTCTACTGAAAAAGGTTCAGATCTAAAAACCTACTTTTGGTTAATTAAAAAACAATATATTTTTTTTTTTAATCTTCCATAATAAGATTTTATAGAAATTGATTTTTCTAATTTATTTTTCGTATATATTCCGAATGTAATATAGCAATCAGAAATCAATCGTACTATTTTCCTGCACTCTCAGAAAAAAATCGAATAAGGGTATCCACACGCCCCGACAAAGCCTAGGACAGATCATAAAGAAAGGCCTGACGAATGGTGCCCAGAAATTCGCACCACGGAGCACGTACACTTCCCAAATGCGCCAGTCACAGGTGCAAAAGGTAAGCCAGGTTAATATGATAAATATTGCTGCCGATGAGAACAATCATTAATCATTCTCAATATTTGCAGCGTATGAGTCTCTTGAAAGCGACTAACAATTAGAACTTAACTGAAATTTAATATATTTATGTACAATATATGCACATAGCTAAGGGAGACTAAGGGAACTGAGGACCAGTAAAATAATTCTTTTAATTTTACAGAACAGTCTTTGCGATGTTTAGTTCTTTAAACTACTGAAATATCGCAACGTAGAAGAATTAAAAAATTAATTTGCCAATTCTGCTTAACACTAAAACAGGAATAATAAAGGGAGAACAAATTATACTCATTTTGTTTAACAAATATTTTATTTAGTACATTATTGGATTTCACTAGAAAATGCATGTAAATATATATTCATGTTTAATTGTATCATAGTTGTTTAAATACTTTGGTAAGTTCTGTTGCTTCTGGAACTTAAATCTAGGCATATCGTAAGTTTACAAATAATTGCTTTAGGTATAAGAGCTACATAACCATCAATAATGTTGCAATTGAGAAATATGTCCAATCTAAATGTATATATTCTCCTTTGGGAAACAATTTGATTTAGATTTAAATATTTAATTCACATGCGCACATGCTATAAATAGTTTTGCAGCTCTGTTAGGTAAAGTGTTTTTCATAATTTCATTATCAAACAATTTGTAAGTTGAAGACACAAAGCTAGCAGATTTGATCTAATAAGGGACGCATTGAGTGCTAAACAGGAAGTAAGTTTAGGTATTTAAATTTATATCAGGTTTTTTTTAGTCATGCTTCACACTGGAAATATCGTACGTGTAACAATAAATTATGCATAAAATAAAAAAAAAAGATAAAAATGAAATAAAAATCAATGTACATTCAAAATTAAGTTCTTAGATGTATATACAAATATGAATTTACTTAAAATTTAACAACAATTAAATAATTCGTTATGCTAATCGGGTTTATGAATTAACAAGTGTTTCTCGTGTGTACTGGAACTTGGTCAACTGGTCGAAAAATTAGTTACAATTTCGTTTATCGTGTGGTGGATCTGTGCGTGTTCATATATATCGTATATCGGTATATATAGTATATGTAGTTCTATATGCTGTATTGTTTGTGTGGGATATATATGTGGTATTTGCTGGTTTGCATGGACTTTAATAAACGGCAAAACCAAAACCTAAAACAGAAAAAAAAAATTGAATTAAATGCATGAATTGGCTGGCTTTTCGGTAGGGTTTAAGCAATTAGTACAGCTAATTACGTTTTTTTTTTTTTAGTATATCAATTGCTTAGTAAGATTAGTTTTGTTTAGTGATGGCCAAATACCTGGGCGTTAGTCATATGTATGCGTGCGTTTAGCCGTTAGATGAGAGACACAAACCAAGGTATGGGGCGAATTTCAGAGTTTACCTGCCACAACAACAACGACAACATCAAACATCAAAGGTCAAAGATCAAAGATCAAACATCATTACAAAGGAACACCAAACAAGTTAAAAGCTACAATTTACGCTTCTACGTTGCTTTTGTTAAAACCGATTTTAGTAGCTATGCGTAGTATGTGTGTATTTTGGTATTGGTATTGGTATTGGTTGGTATTTGTTTTAACTGTTTTTGTTTTTGTTTGGTTTTGAACTTAAGCTGTACTTGAGTTATGTGAGGCCCCACTGATCGCATTGAATAAAGCCATGCTATTGCGCTGGGCGGCTGTGTCGGCATCATCGCTAAGCGGCTGGAATGACTCATCTTGGAGTAACTCACTGAGCGCTTGACACAGCTTCTCGTAGTTCTCCTTGAGGACATGATGATACTCCTTCTGATCGGCACTGATCATGCGCTCGTTCACACACAGCGCCTTGTGACAGACACCAATAAAGTCTCTGTATGAGAAAGTGTATTTGAATCAATGGTTAGTTTTCATTAAGCTGTTGCCTACCGGAACACATCCTTCAGATCCTCAACACGATCCAGCGAAAAGTTTTTGATCACCTTAGCGTCCAGAAAGGCGTGCGCATAGGCCAATGGACCTGCGTTCACGGTAACTGCCACGCTGCCCTGCAGGCGCAGCTGCAACTTCTTGACATCCGCCGGGGGCAAAATAATTTCCTCCAGCTCTGAAACCTTTGATTGCATCTCGTCGATGGCCACCTCTATGGGACTCAGCTCGATAATCTCACGCGATTTGACGGGTATACGTTTGAGCACGTACGGAAACGAATATTGAGCTGCAAACAGAAAAATGCTTAATTAGCTGATCGTCGATCTAAGTAAATGCTTCGTTTCGACTCACTCTTAATGACAGTTTTGCGTTTCCATTGCTCCTCAACGCTGCCACGCGCTGCGCCGGATTTGGTAAAGGGTGTTTCATACATGAATGTGTCCACATCATGGTTCTGTTCGAACTCATTCAGACGCTGATCGAGCTCGTCTTTGGTGAAGAAGGGTATCACATGGGTGACCTGTATGTAGGCTAGTTTCGCATCCAATTCGTCAACTTTTACCTGCAACCGATGAAAAATGTATTTAAAACTCTGAATAAATTATATCGTCGAGCAATAGAAAGTGAAACTGTCCATGAAAACGAGCGACAGATGGCGTTAGTCTCTTTCTTTACGATCTTGCTAAAAATAAAATTAAAAAAAATATGAACAACAGATGGCGCGCACTATGATGCCAGGTATGAAAATTATGAATAATTGTGTAGTTCTGCAAAATATTAATTAATATTACTATTAATGTTCACAATTTTATTAAAAATTTAATAGATTAATATTGATTCACAAGGAAAATGTGACGATAAGTGGAAGGGGTATAAAAATATTTAACATTATATGAATATAATAACTTGAATGAATACTGAAAACGTGTTTTGCATGTACCATAAATTAATAGTAAATAATAAACAAATGTTTTTCAGATTTTAAATAAATTAACTTTGAGTAATTTCTAGTTAATGTTTCTCCAGACTAAGTTTTCTTGCGAAATTTAATTCCACGAACAAAAAGATGCTTCTGAAAATTATATTAGCACTGTTAAGCAGTAGTACGGCTTAGGAAATAAAAATGACTCGAATAGTACGCAACGAAGTACTACTCGAAAGTATATTTCTAGACGAAATGGAAACGAATTGAACTGCCTCGATCATAGTTGCTTGGAATGTTGGAGCTACAGATGGCGTTTGGGCATCATAGCAGCATTTGTGTTTCGGCTTACTTCAGCATCACTATATATTCAATCGTTTCAAATGTATATATCACTAAAATACCCTTGTTATAACTAAATAGCACCGTACAAATAGTAAATTGTTTGTAGCCCAACAGAGTGCAACAGTACCAAATTACATTTAGAGTTAACATTTTAGAATAGCCTTCAGTCAAGCAGTTAGCGGTTAACATGGACATTGGCAATGAGATGCACCAACAGTTCATAAAGGACTTTATCCAGTCTCTGCAGGCGGGCAGCGAGGACAGCAACAGCAATAGCAACAGCAACAGCTGCATGCAGAGCAACAGCCGGAGCCTGAGTGACTCCTCACTGAATCCCAATGCGGCTGAGTTTGTGCCTTCCTACATGAAGAGCAGCGATGCTGACGATGATGAGGAGCCACATCAATATCAGCGGCAGGAGCAAAAGCCATCGGCCAGCTCTTCAACAACACTGGTGGAAAATACACTGAACCGCATACAGCGCCAGCTCTATAATCTGATGAATCAGCTGGGCAACCAGAACTTGCCGCTAACGCAAATTCGGTTCACTCTGGCACCCAATGGCCAGGGCATCAATGTGCAATTCATGGCGCTGGACAGCGGCAAGCGACAATCGTTGAATAAGCATCTTTGTAATTCGGCCGCATTTCGCCTGGAGATCGGCGATGTTGCAGAGCACAACAATCGACCTGGCCATTCCCTGGCTGCACAGTTCTTGAGTCGCATGGGCAACGTTCTGAACGATAAGAGCGAAGGCAAGTTGCCGTCGATATGTCCCAAGTGCACGGCCTTGCCGAAAAAGCGCAGCTTCACCGAGCTGGAAATAGACCGTCAGATCGAGGACATTAAGGCGTTCGAGAAGTTGATTAATGAGGATGCCGGCGCACGCTATCAGGACGCATTTAAACAGCTCTGCCAGAAACTGGGCCTAAGCACAAACGGCGGCCAGGCGCTGGATTTTGAGTCTACAGAAACTGTTCCGCTGGCGATAAACGAGATCAATAATGATGACAGTGAAGTGCCATTTAATGAAGATGAGCTGTCCACTTTGGAATGGGATCCATATATGCCGGAATTAACGACGATGAAGGTTTATGGATACTCGGCTCCGAGTGCCACCGATGTGCACGTCAACGATCAAGGAGATCACCAAAAGGTGCACCAAGAGCAGCTGTCGCTGAAAGAAGACTATGAGATGGACGCGCAAACACCAGCTATGTCAACAACCACAGCTCCTGTGTCCACAGTCTATCCAAAGCTGTACAAGGTGAATCAGGTAAAATGGACCAGTTCGCCGGGGCCGGGGCCGCGCAAAACCGGCACCCACAAGGAGAAGGAGAGCAAAATACAGCGATGGCGGTACAGTTCACCAGCAGCAGCAACAACGCCAGCATCAGCTGCCACACCGTCAGTAAGCGCTACATCAACAACAGTAGCAGCACCAGCAGCAGCAACAAATGCCGCCGCAACAGTTACTTCAGCCGGAAGTGCCACAGGATCGGCGTCTAAAAAGTTGCCGGAGCGTGGTCATCTAAATGGCAATCGGATCAAGCGCGCATATCAGTGCACAATGCAGCCCAAAACTGGAAATGCGGGCAACATGTCCGAGGTGACGGCCAGTCAAATAGCCAAGCCAAGCTCCAACTACAAGCAGGAGCCGCGTTCACAGATCGGTATGCCCAAGCAGCAGCTAGACCACGTCCATGTGTAAGTCTCAATGATTCAGTTGTGCGTTTACTGCCACGTTAATTAACTGTCTTTTGTCTTTCAGTAACAAGTTAAACAAGGCAGCTACCTTGAGCCGCACAGCCGGCATAGGGTCAACCCAGGGCACCAAGCATAGTCCTGCAGGAGGAGCTCAGCGAATTGTGGCGCCACGTAGCACCCATGCATCCCAGATGCGACAGTCCGAGGTGAAGCGCGTAAGTGCATCACATATACTCCCAAATGCATAAGTGTATATGAATCCCATTTCAGCGCCTCAACCTGATGCGTGGTGACAACGATACCGATGTCCAGTTCAATGAGTATCTGTTCAAATGAGCTAGTCTTAAAAATTGTTTCATAATTGTGTTGTTCGTAACAGCATGTCTCTGGCATAACGGTCTTCTTCTTCTACTTATCAAATATGTTGCGAATCAGCAGATGCAGCTTAATTTCTATCAACCAGTTAGTTTGTTAGTCCTGCCGAACTAGTTCTCTCTCTATACATATATATTCATTTATATGTATATATAAAGCACCCACTATATATTTTTTACTTAGCTGAGCTTAAGCTGCGAATTCAATAAGATTGTTAAGCATTCAACAGGCAATGATTGTGTTGTTATATAATATCAAATTTTCGTTTTTTATTTCTGTAAGCCCAATAAATATGTAGCAAATGAAGCCTATATTTTATATTGTATTCAATATTATATTATTGCGTTCGCCTGGCATTTAAATCAGGATCCTTCTATTTAACTTTTTGATCTTTCATTTAAAAATCAAGAATTCTGGAAATTAAATGGATGCATGCTTTACTTTGCAATTATATTTTTCCTATTTCCACGATTATAACCCAAAGTTACTAAACGAATGTAAAGTAAACCCAACCTCAAGATGTAAAGGAAGTTCCATTTCCATTGGCGGAAAATGAGTGAAAAAATTGATTTTTTCATATAAACTTTCAGCTTGAGGAAAATGCACTACAGAAATATAGATTTCCATAAGTGGAAATATTAACTTGTAAATTTCAAATTCAAGTTTAACAAAAATTTATTGGGCGATTTCCGTAAAATTTCTTGAGAAAAACGACAATTCCGATATCGCCAATCCAGACTGCAAATGCTGATGAAAAACATCTTACATAATGGATCTTTTCTAGTACACGAATATACCTGAACGTAGTTAAATATTTTAAACCAAGTCAAGAACAACTTTAAACAACACTTCGAATCCGGTTGTCAATAATTATAGAGATTAAAATAATTTTGAATTCCTACATACCGGCGATGAATCCATAATGAGTTTGACGACATCGGCACCAAACTTTTCCTTATATTGTTTGGCCAAACGCTCCGAGATTTCGCTAAGCGATGTCAACTTTGGCTCCTTGTACACAAACTCAATGGCGTGATCCTCCTCAAAGTACATCTGAAAACATATTGTTAGAATAGGTTAAAGGCTTTTAACGGGGCCTTTAGACGACGTCCACTTACCATGCCATAGAAGACAACCCGATAGAAGCGGCCCAACATGCGCTTGCCGGAACGATTCACCTCGACAATTTTATTGTAGGCCTGGGTGAGATGCTCATAGCTTTGGGCCAGTTCAATAAAGTTGCGCGCACGCTCGTAGATGGGCAGGATGAGCTTGTAGAGCTCGCCGAGGCACTCGAAACGCTCGGCACGATCGAGGAAGTCGGCACATTGCTTGAGCTGCTCCAGCAGCATTTGCTCTGTGTACTGTGAGTCCTGGGCGCCCGCATCCAGCTTCAGGCCCTGCTCATCCAGCGGAATGTTGCGCGATATCTTGCCAAATGCTGTCGACGACCAGCTGAGCGTGCAGCCGCCGCGCAGGCGCAGATATTCGCACATGAGCGCCGCAATATGCAGATGACAGCAGGCGGCCTCCGAGAGATTGCCATTCTGCTCGTGATTGCGCGCCATGGTCACCAGCCAAGTGTGTCGCAGCTCCGGTGTCGAGGCATACGAGTTGGCCAGCGAGTATTGCAGTTCGAGCAGCCGTTCCGGGTCCATGTGATGAGCCTGCATTTGCGCCGTGGCCATCAGCACTGTGCGCACGCGTCGCGTGAGATCCTTAACCTCCAAGGGAAAGCCCGTGCCCTTCATGGCCTTGTCGCTGTTGGCATAGCTATTGATAATGGACAAGCTCTCCTGGAAGCGGGCATTGTTCAGGCCAATTACATTGCCAATCATCTGCGACACCGAGATGATGACCTGCAGATGGACGCGGGTGAGCGCCTTGCGGCCGCTGAACTCAAAGTTGCTGCGCATCAGTAGATACAGAACGGCGCAGGATTCGTGGCGTATGTCCACCAGCCGGCTGTCGCAGGCCTTGAGCAGCTCATAGACCATCTGGCCACAAAGCATGGCATTGCCCTTGAACAGGGCCATCGAATAATTGTTAATGAAGGCGCGCAGGGCGGCGAACACGTGCTTGGACAGACGCTCCGACTGGCCCAGCTGCAGAAAGCGCAAATAGACACGCGCCAGCTTGGGCAGCACAAGACTCTCCGCCAGCAGCTGTCGGAACTGCAGCACATAGAGTCCGAGGCAGTCCAGTATTATCATGCCCACCTCCGTGGCCAGATTGGACTCGTAAAGCGCCTGCTGTGATCTGGCCGACAGGTCCATATCCTCCAGCAGATGCTCTCGTGTCTGGGTGAGAGTGCCAGTGTTTGGCTCCTGGCTGCCGTTCTCCAGCACAGGCGGTGTGCTGCGTGCGGGCAGTGTGTGTGCCTTGGTAGGCCTCTGGAGGCGTGCATCACTCGCTAGCACAACATTTTTCTTGCCCACGTAGCGGAACTGCAGCAGGCACAGGTCCAAAATTGACAGGAACTGCAGTGTCTCCGTCTCGTTGCAGTTCTGCCACCAGGCGACCATTTGATCCTGCGACAGATGCTTCACAATGAACAGGAAGCCAAGCAGCAGGTCCTTACTCTCCGCCGCACTGAACTTATCGCAGCGTGCCAGGACTTGTGCATGCGTCACACTCACCGAACGATTGTGGCCATTTCGCAGCGCCACATCCGTTTCGCCATTCGTGTAAGCGCCGATTGTTGTCGTATCCTGTGAGTGCTAGTGCGAAGGAAAATGAAAATTTAGGTCAATCGTTCGCTAAAATTAGGGATATGTGTTCACATATATAAAGCAATTAAATCAAAAGTGCATTAAAAACTCTATTTAATATTTTCGGTGAGAGAGCGTATCAGTTTAACTCGAATGCAACACTTTTTCTTCAACTCAAATTGTTTTGCTTAAACCCAAAAATAAGAGAAAGATTTTACTTACGCCAGAATCGGAATTCGAGTTAAGCGACAGATTGGAGATGCCATTGCCAATGGCTGTGCCAGCAATCGCGGCCAAGTAGTTATGATCCTTGATGTGCATGGAGGTGCGACAGGGACTCGCCTGATCGGTGTGAAGGGTGAGGCGGTTTTTAGATCTCGGCGTAGAGGTCAGCGAGCTAAAGGTTGACGAGTCCTTGCTGAAAACATAGCTGCTGGAGCAGCTGAGACGCTTTGTATAGGACGCGGAGTCGGCATAGACATGCCCGTTGGGCGTGCAGCCGCCGGAGTCGGAGAGATCATCGATGCGATGCAGATTGTCCATGACAATGCCCAGCCAGGGCACATACAGGAGCGCAATGCGGCACAGTTGGCCGCGCTGCTGATAGCGTGCATCCAGCTCATGCTTGGCCAGCAGATCCTTGAAGATGGACAGTGCATGGCGACGCACATGACCGATCTCGTTCAGACTGCTCTTCAGCTCCTGCAGCAGCAGACCGGAGAGGAAATGCTGGCGACAAAACTGCTCCGAGAGTGTGAAATGCTGCAACAGCTCCGGCGGTCGATTCTTGGGGTTCAGCACAAACGGCAGATTGAGCGGCACATAGTGCTCGTGCTGGCAAATCTCCTGCAGAAAGTTGAACTTGTACTCGTGCAGCACGCGCGGATTGCCAGGCGCAAACTGCTCCATGTAGAAGCGAATCAGCTTGAACACAAATCCACGATCCATATAGCTGAGGCATTGACGCACAAAACGCGCCAGCGAACGGTTCAGCAGCTGCGTTTCTTCGCCGAGATCCTCATAGCGGGTGGTTATATACGGCACCAGTGCCTTGATCAATTGCTCAACACGATCCGCATACTCCTTGGGAAATCGTTCGTTGCGCAGCATGCGTATGCGACCCGTGGCCAGCAGGTGCTGAGCCATGCTCTTCACAATTAGATCGAAGAAGATCGCGGAGTAGCGCATGAACTTGTTCACAATGAGAAAGTCCGTGTTGTTGGGATTGAGCAGGTAGGGCAGATGGCGACACAGTTCGCCGTGAACCGTGCGCAATCGTGCCGTCTGCTGACTGTAGTAAGGAGCATGGAACACGTATTTGACATAGGCGGCCAACAGCTCTGTGCGCTTCGCCTCGTCGCTGATCTGATGAATTATGTTCGTCAGCAGCCGGATGACATTCAGGCCAATCTCCTCGGACTGGGTGTGCACTAGCAGCGTGAACAGCTCGTTGAGCAGCGTGGGCAGAAAGTTGATCAGGGAACGCATGTCGATGGCATGCGCCGCCTTCAGGATCTTGCATGTCTCCGTCTCGGCGGGCAGGGCGCCAGTCTTGCCGCCCTCCAGCAGCCGTTCGCAGTGGGCGAAGAAGTTGTGCAGATGCTGATCCGACGTTAGCACCGTGGAGTCCAGACGCAGGCCAACGCTATAGAGAGCACGCTGATTGTCGATCCATTGAATGTCCGGGCCGCAGTTCTGCTGAGAAATTGAAAGGGTTTGTAGGCGGCCATGGGGAGGGATGGAGTAACGGATGCGGTTGGCGGATGCGGTGCATGAAGAGAATGTGTGGAAAAGAGAACACAGAGAGCGGGTTTTTGGTTAGGCAAGCAGCAAGGTATGGATGTGGATCAAAAAACACAAAACGATGCATGAGTCGATGATCGGCAGCAAGCAGCGACAACAGCAGCAGCAAAAACTTACCCCCTTGCCCCAGCCCAGCGGCTGGATAGACAGATAGCCCACGGGCAACGTTGCAGCCACGGGCAACAGCTGCTCCTCCAAGCAGATGCGATTCTTCTGCAGCAGCGGTAGCCAGGCATAGCCAATGGGCGTCTCGAACGACGCATGTGCATCACGTTTCTTGCTCAGATTACACGACACGTGATAGAAGGAGAAGAGCAAATGATGCTCCGGAAAGAGGCCCAGCGGCAGGCGCAGTTTTATTTCCTCGTACCAAGTGGGCGTCACATTATGATGCAGCACCGGGCAGGCAATCTGCGAGACCAACAAATCCTGACCCGGACGCCCATAGATGCACTGCAAACCAGAGAAAAAGGTATTAGCAAAAGCTTGTAAAGGAAAGTCTAGCAGAGGAGCATTTTATTTTTAATAATGTAGTATTAGTTAAGATTAGATTACCTTCAGGGGTTTACTGTACTCGCCATCGCCATCTCTCAGCTCGACGACGACTGTAATGTTGCGAGCGCGTGAGAACAGCTTTTGGCTATCGAACTGCAGGCTCAGGGGATACACATAGAGATGATTACAGAAATTGGTATAGGGATACGCATCGCGCTCAGTTTGGCTCTGAAACTCGGAGAGTTCCAGGGTGAGCGGCTGCTTGGCGGAGGCACTGAAAGTGGACAAGGGCGCCAGGGATTTACTCAAGCCACACGGGGCCGTCTGGTCCAGCAGCTGCACCTGCAGTCGCATATAGCCCGGTATGATGTTCAGCTTGCTAAGCTTCTCTGGCTTGCGATAGTCGGCCAACAACTTGAGCAGCTCCTCATCACGCAGTTTGGCCAGCTCCTGGCGATAGATGGTATTAAACTCGAATATGCACTGCGACTCTACGTCCAGTTCATGGCTATAGGCCTTGAACAGAGGTCGGGCGGCCCAGGCAAATGGCTGGCGATAGTGTCCAATGTGCTGGGCACAACTCTTGGCCGCCTTGTGCACCTTCTGTCCCAGCTTGGCATCACGTGCGGCCTTTAGATACGGCTCGGCCGCCTGGGCAATGCTGCTCTGCAGCACCTTCTCGATGCGCAGCACCAGATAGATGTCTGCATGCGGCGCACTCACCGACAACATGCACTGCCGCAACTGCTGGAACTGCTGGCGCGGACAGCGCAACAGCTCTGAGGAGACGCCGTCAAAAAGTGAATGTGGCGCCTGGGCAGCATTGCGCTCATCGCTCTCCGCGCGCCTGGGTATGCCACAGCCCGCCACAGAGGCGGGCACTGGGGTATTGGGCAGCATCTGAGCTGCTGCCGGCTCGTTGATGTTGAAGTAGAAGCTCTCGCTAAGTTTGCGCCCGGCCTTGGCATCGTACAGCGCCAAACTTGTAATGTAGGGCTCTACTTGACACAATTGTTCGCCGCCTGCACCGTCCGCCAAATCAGCTGGCTGGCACTGCAGTCGAAAGCGCAAGGATTGACAGGTGAGCAGGACGCGTGTGCCAAAGTGTTCGCGATATTGCTCCACATTGTCATTGGTCACAGCCTTGCCGGGGCTCTGATAGCAGGCGAAGAGGCGGCGACGCTGCTCGCGACGTGCCTGCGCTATGGAGTGATCTGTCTCGCGTCCGTATTTCATCAGCTGCGGATGCAGTGATTGATCCAGACCCTTGAGTGTACCAAACGTGGGCGGCTCCATGGCTGGCGGCTGCAGCTGCGGCGTGGGCGTCGCATTGGCAGCCGGCTGACGTTCCAGCGATGCATTGCGCTTCTCCTCCTGCGCCTTATTCTGTGCCAGCACCGAGGACAGCTTTGTTAGCCAATCCTTAAAGTCCTGCTCGTTCTCAGCGGCCAGGGTAAAGGATTTGTGGCCAGCTGTCATACGCAGCTCAAAACAGAAGCGACCACGTTTGGGATTCTGTGCAGAAAAATTTGAATTAGTTGAGATCAATTTGACTGGAGCTGATATATGGTACTCACCTGCACTACTTCCGTGCAAAAATCCATGACAATGGTGGCCTTGGCCTCACCCTGTTTCTCATCCTTATGCAATTCGAGCATGTAGGTGCCATCGATTTCCTGGCGCAGATAGCAATACCGACGCTTAAAAGACTTGTTGCCAATGTTGGCGAACATGCGATCCGAGGCCGAATCGGGCCCCTTCAACAGATACCCCTGCTTGGTAATCGTATCCGCCTGGGAGCGCGTCATTTGCTCATCAATGCGATCCTGATCGGCGTCGATTTCGTACAACTCCTCCAGCAACTCCTCGGCGGGTGACGTGCTATGGAAATAACGTCAGCAGGGAAATTCCATTAAATTACAAAGACACTCACCTGGGCAGATCGTGACAGTTGCCACCATAGGCACTGTATTTATAGTGGATAAGATGATTTTTGGCACGATACGTGTACAGCGCTTGGCGTGTGAAGCGCGTGCACTCGGCACGCGTACCCAGCGTAGTTGCGTCTGTCGCATCCTCGCCAGCTGCTATCTCCTCCTCCGCATATTCATCTACCTCCTCGGGCTGTGCCAAATGCGAACGCAATGTGCTGGAGGACAACGCCGATTCATAGGAGGACTCCTGTGATGTCTTTCGACTCGCCGAGCCATTGGAGCACTGCGAACTCTTGCGCGACAATTGACCATTGCCGTTGGACAGGCTGGTATTGCTGCTGTGCCCATTGTGTAGACTGCCATTCGACTGCAGGCTGCTCTGACGGCTCACCTGACTGTGACCATTGCTGCCCAGCACAACGGAGCCATGCAGTGGACATACGATTGCCTCATTGGGTGGCTCAAAGCGATCCGCCACAGATTTGACATTTGTGCGCTGCTTACGCGGCATGACAATCTCCTGCAATAAATATGTTACGCAGTTGCAAGGAATGAATACATCACAAAAACTGTAAGGTAATAAAGAAGACCTTGTCAAGGTCTCAAATACACTCCTAACCTATTCCCCATCAGAAACTAACAAAACTAGTCTATTAATATCAAAGCAGAATTGGTTTATATTAATTAAGTCGCAAATGGAAATATCGCATTACCATATTATACGTCATAACAAATGCATAGCAATTTTTATTCTACACAAGAAAACGCACTATCTTCGGCACGTCGAACATTTAATACCCTTTTAGAATATAGGCTTACGATTTTTGTCGATTTGTGCGTAAAATATTGAAACTTGTATTTGCCGAGTTAAGTAAAGATATTGAAAATTGAAAAGTAAATATAATATATAATATATTATATATTATATAATAATATATATACTTTATATTGTCGGAGATGTCGCTTTCTTGCATTACTCATTCCAAGACAAAATACGTAAAAGCAATGTAGTCGAGTGTGCCCGACTGCATAATCCCCTATATTTTTAGATAGGTCATTGCACACAGATTTAGCTGCTTCTTCTGAATGCGCCACATTATTGTACTTATTTAATGTTAAATAAGTTATGCCTTATGGGGCCTCCTTCTACCTGTGTTATGCACAAAACGAATATACTCTTGTTTAACCATTTTCAATGGGTACTGGGTATTGTGATAATATTACAGCATGTAGGTATAAATATATAAGCCTGACCTATTTGCCGTCCTATATGCTTATATGGCCTTCGACTCTGTTATTCTGCTTTTAGTAAGCTGAATTAATTAGAATAATAAACATACTTTCTTAATATTGCAAACTACTTTTTATCAGGAATGAAAATAATAATGTAAAAGTTTGAGTTCCACCTAATGCTCTTTCCCGAAAAAGAGAAGCTATAAATGGGCCTAATCCCTAGATCCACCTTACACAATTTCTACCGCCACAAAGCTTATAATGCAGCTATGTGAGCATTATAAAGCTCAGTTGTGCTACTCTGTGATTTATGACGCCGCATTTGATTCCGGGTCGATTGAGAGTAAGAGTTTTATGAATAGCAATTGAAATGAATAAATTATTTGTTCTGGCTTTTAGGCTTCTTTACCACGAAACTTACCGAGACATCGTCCGCTGGATAGATAAGCAGCTCCCGCTGCGGATCATTTTGTATGAGTGTTTTATTTTTGGCTATAAAGGCTTCAAAGTCGACCGGCTCCACGACGAGTGGCTTGCTCTGCAAGTAGAGAGGGTGAGACGATATTTTGGTTAGATATTTGCTAATTTATGTGTGCCACTTGTAAAAGCAAAAGCGCGTTTATAAATACATTTCTCCCCCAATAACCAAATACCCATGTCCATACCCCAACCCCATTTCCATTTACATTTCCAGTTTCATGCAGCGCCCGACGAGTTATTATTGAATTTGGGCACGCCATAAATTTTTGGATACTTTTCCTACAGTCAACCCCCTCGCCCCCACACATGAAATGTTTAGACCTTGACCGCATTACACAGCGGATGTCGACGTCTCCGTTTGCCGTCCACTGTTTGATATTGTTGTGTCTGGCCGCGGGTGCAACTTCTCATGATGTGTTTGTTCCATGTTCCATCGATGTCGGCGTGGGCCGAGCCATTGGCATAAACAAATCTATTTTGTTCAGGCATTTGCCATTTTGCAACGCCCCGCAGCCAAAATTAACAGATTTTTTTTTGCGCTCTTGAGTTTCAGATTTTGGCCACGATGACACCATGGAGGTGCGCCTTCAGACGGCTGACAAGTGGGCAGCAGGGGATATTAAGTGACCCAACCCTTTGTGACATGACGCCAGGCTGAAAGGTTAAAGTGTCATTTCCGGTGTCGCTTCTCATTTCACGTGAACCCTGAGCCTGGGCTTGGCTCGTTTCTCATTTAATGAGGGTAATGGGAGCAACCTGTGATAACTGCGTAGATGTGCAACAATAAGGAAAGGTTTGTCAAAGGTTGTGGCAAACAATAAAAGGGGTTGGGCTGCGCACAGGCCATATACCTAAAAGCGAGAAGGTCAGAAGTTAGCTCTTTCTATGAGTGAAACTAAGTTTTATTATTAAGTCATACGAATGCAGGTTTTTTTGTGCTATTCATAAGACGAAAATATTCAATAGGGAAGAAATCGTTATCTTTTTTTTTTCCAGTAGTTAACCAAATTTATGGCCAGAGTTTAGTGAAATCTGTAAAAAGTATTTAAATTTTATACAATCCAAAATTAACAAAAACTAAATGCCAAGCTTTTAGCTATTAACAGCTTTATAAAACTAGCATAAATTTGAAAAATTTGCATATTATAAAAGTCATTTTGTGCTTTTAATTTCGCATTTTTCACAACTCGTTTATTGGCGAGCTTTAGCTGGCGACCAGCCTATAAGCCAGCCCATTGCATCGTGTTGCTTATAGGCAGCGCAGCCTGTAGGCCTCAATGTCAATGCACTTGTCGCCTGGTCGCGCTGATTGCCTGTCACATGTGGAAAGCATTTACTTCATAGGCTCAAGTCGCATCTGCTCTCTCCTTCACTCAAACACAGCCCCCTTCCCCACTCTCTTTATCTTCTTGTACACACACTGCATGCAAATTGTGTTCGGCCACGTCGTCACTTGCGTAATTAAGCCCCCTCGCAAATGCCTGAGCCAGCGGCGGCGACAAGTGCATCGGGCGTTACGCAAAGCAATTACCAAATCAATTGGGCAGCCAAACTTAAACGCACAGACTGCCAGCGACTAGATATGGTATATACCCTGTTATTGAACACGCAGAAGAATGGGTGTATTTGCTTTAAGGGTACTAGGTACAGACTGGCCTATCAAGTAATTCATTGACTAAAGCCAGGGATTAAAAATCTATTGAAGAAACGAAATTTAGGGAAATAAATATTCAATGAAGATTTACTACTCTTAAGACTCGCAGTCAAATGTTCAACTTTAACTTGCAACGTATTATTTACAGCAGTTGAATTTTTATTTTTTTGTATTATTAACTAGACGGTTAATATAAGTAGTTAGCACACATTTGCATATGAATTGTAGAATTTATCTATTTATTTATCACGAAGTAGTTTAATAACAACTTTACTTGCATGTAGCTCAAGCATTATAATTTCTTGTACGTTAATTTAAGAAAACTGTCCTGGAAGATTTCTCAGAGAAATTTGTCGAAGCCAGCTACATTTGAGCAGAGGATGGCAAAATGCCATGGGCGTTGCTCAAATGCCAACGAGCCAAGAAACTTGTTCATATCAGTCAATATGGGCGCAATCTATCGGCGGATCTAAATACACAGCCCAACACGCAAATTTGTTGTAAAATAAGAAACTGGCAGGCAGTAAAAACCGCAACGGCCAACCACAACAGCAACAGCAACAGCCACTGGTCCAGCTGCCTGGCAAGGCGTGAAACCTGAGCAGAAGGCATCATTATCATCACCATCATCATCATCAACAGAAAGCAAACGCTATCATCAGCGTTTGGGCTGGGTTTGAGGCGCCACCACGAAACGTGATGATTTCGTATGCCTGGCCATGCAATTGCAGCAGCAGCAGCAGCAGCAGCAGCCAAGTGGCATGCGGCGGGCTACTTGTCGCTGGTTATGGTTAATGTTCGATGGCTATGGTAATGGTAATGGCAATGACCGGGCCGGAAGGGGGGCGCCCCTTGATTGTGATATGGCAAGCATAGCAAGTCGCCAGCCCTGGCCATGTCAATGTCTATGAGTGCAGCCCCACAATGTCACTTGAGTAGCAGAGCAACCCCCCATTTCTGGGTTGCTTTTCCCCCAACTCCCTCAGCCGCCAATCAATTTAAATTGCAACAATGCAGCCGCCTTTTCATATAAAAATATCTTGAGCCGCTTAAATGAGCAACACAAAAGAGCGGGCAAAAATGTGGGCGGAGGGGAAATTGTATTATTTTTTGTTTTTTTTTTTTTTTTGTTTCGCTTTGAAGTGAATTGGAAACCATTGAAGTGGTCTGCTTCAGCAATCCCCATGAAAGTGATTTGCATTCTGGGTCTATGGAAAAGTTTTTGACTAAATTTGGTTTGCTGCGTCTGGCGAACTTTTGACCCACACTGAAAACACCAAATGTTGACCAGCTCTCCCATATTGCCAGATATAAACAATAAGTTTACAAAATTCAAAAACAAAAACCGAATGTTTTTATTAATGCGAAAGTTTTCATTGAATGGGTCTACTATAAAACCACTTAGTGCTTTTCAACTTTTAAGACCTTTCGTTTTGCTGATTTTTTTTTATAGATCTAATAAAAGAGGGGTTAGTTTGAAAACTGAGCAATGGTATTGATGGGTTATCTGTTGCATAATATTAATAAATATTTATTTGTATATATTTTTTTTACAATTAAATTGTAGGTTTACAATTTTTTCTCAGGGAATAGAATATTTTTCATTACATGCACTTGTGTCTGATATAATATGTATGTTATATTATGACAATCTATAGAGAGAGATAAATAGGTTTCTTTCAGTTTGACATTTATTTACCGACACTTGCTGTAAAAACATGTTCAGTTTAAGCAAAACACATCAACAAAAGCAAATCAGGTCATTATTACTAACCGGTGTTGACAAACAAGCTCAGTTTTTTTACCATTCCACAATTAACTGGTCGTCATGTTAACCAGACATTGAGTTTTGAAATTATTTGACTGGCGGTTTGTCGATGCGATAAATGGAGCACACGGTTAGTTACTCTAAAGCATAAATCCTATAGAAAGCAAATATGCATAATTTCCCCGAAGTCTAAGTTTTCAACATTTTGAGTTGCATCAAGAGAGTTCTTGAAATTTGTGACTAAGCCAAACATGACTAAGTTCTTTTAGCTGATTAGGAATGTGTATTATTATGCCTCATAAATATAAATATATATATATGTATATACATGTTTTTCTATAGCTTTTTAGCTGTATCCGCTGGGTAAATGTGCAAATTCTTGAAAGCAATGCACGCGCCATTTCCTGCTGCAGCTGTTCTCATTCATATTATTGTAGAATTATTTATATAATTTAAAACAAATATTGCCAACAAGATCTGAGAATTTGCATGTGAACTTGAGCCGTAAAAAGGGCGCTGATAAAAAATGCTTTGCATAGCAATGTCATCATATCATGCGCTTGGGCTTGTCTGCGTGTGTGCTTGGTTATTTTTGTATATATTTGTTTTTTTTTTTGTAAAGCTTCATTTTTTATGTGGCTGTCACTGGGGCCGGTTTCCCAAGTGACGCAGCAGCGGAAAAGGCTGCAAAAGGCGCGTCGGCTTTGTTTTGGTCATCATCAGGGCAGGTTTTGGTTCAATGAACCCGCAACTCCGAACCGTCAGATATGTAAGTGTAACTGAAAACGTCTAAACTGGACTTTAACTTTGGCCGTACTTTCAAATGTGACGTCGAGTCAGCAAAAATATTGTGCTGGAATTTGACCACTTGTTGCGGCTGTGCTGTTGTTGACCATGTGATATCGTAATCAAAAGCGGCAAATTCCAGCTGTGCCTTTGAAAGTCTCACGCATAACTTTGACAAAGCTTGGACTTTCTAAGCTGCTCAACAATTCTATTGATTTGTATGCTTTTGTAATTTGGCAAAAAATTTCACACAGTCTTAAGTCTGATATCTGAAATCTCAATACAAATTGCTTGATGATTTGTTAGCAAAATTTACATGCGCGCTTCCACAAATCAGGAAGTTTATCATTAGGCGCTCAATTCAAGCGCCAAACACGTTCGACATTTTCGAGGCATTCATTAGACGGCTTTTTGTCGATTTGTCCATTTGCGCACAATGCGATCCGCTGGTGTCGAGCAAATGCAGCTCATTTAAATCATTTCGTATAATGCCAATAACCATGGCATTATATACACACATATTATAATGCACTAATCGCATCACATGACGCAATACTCAAGTGGGTAAAAGTGCCGCAAGACTTTCATTCGATTGCATAATGTGCTATTATGATGGCACTAGCTAACAAGATGCTGTACTCTATATTATCTTAATCAGACCTATCAAATATAATAATGATTAATTCTTGTTAGTTACAAAAAATGTACTTAAAAATTATCTTTGATTAGACTTTGAGAAGCAACAAAATATAACTAATAAGAGAACTGTTGTATTTGACAGTTCTATGCAAAGATTATTATTAGAATTTTTAACAAGTTAAATAATGTATTACGCTGCTAGTGTATTTTA